GAGTTTGTGTAGCTGCTGCCAGCTCCTCCACCACCGCAGCTCCTGGTGTTGTCGCTAGAGCGCTAGTTGCTGCTGTTGCTGCTGCTGCTGCTGCGACTCGTGCTGCTGCTGCTGCTGCTGCTGCTGCTGCTGCAGCACACCCAGCAGCTGGCCCGTAAGCAGTTGCTGTAGTTTACTTATCTAAGAGCTGCAGCAGCAGTTGAACTACGATGAGTATCTGCTGCTGCTGCTGCAGTTGTTGCTGCTGCAGTTGTTGCTGTCGTTGCTGCTGCTGCTGCTGCTGCTGCTGCTGGAGCTGCTGCTGCTGCTGCTGCTGCTGAGCCGACCCCCAGCAGCAGAAGAGCAGCAGCCACGGCACCAGCAAGGAGTAGGCTGCTGCTGTTTTTGTTTATTTCTCTTCTCATCGCCTCATATAAATAAAAAATAAAATAAAGGGGGCCCCCGTTGCTGCACCTCTGCTGCATGCGGTCTCCAGCAGTGGTCCCCTGGCTCGCGGCGACCTGCTGCTGCTGCTGCTGCTGCTGCTGCTGCTGCTGCAGCAGCAGCATATATATATTGTATATTATTATATCTTCTTTTCTTTTTAATTTATTTTTATTAATATATAAAATATTTCTACACAAACATATACAAACAAACCACAAAAAAAAACAGAACAGCCACCCCCCCTCGCTGTATCCCTCAAAAGGAGAGTTCAACTTGCTGCTGCTGCTGCTGCTGCTGCTGCTGCTGTTGCTGTTGCTGTTGCTGCTGCTGTTGCTGTTGCTGCAGGTGTTGCTGCTGCTACTCAGGCTGCTGTAGCTGCTGCGGTCGCAGCTGCTGCTGCTCTGGCTACAGACGCTGCTGCTGTCGTTGCTGCACATAACTCGCTGTTCCTGCTGCTGCTGCTGCTGCTGCTGCTGCTGCTGCTGCTGTACTTGCTGCTGCTGCTGCTGCTGCTGCACCCCCTGCGATGCTGCAGCATGAGCTAGATAAACGGAGCTATGTCGGGTGTCGCCTCAACCCCCGCCCCCCAGAAATACACCGACTGCTACTGCTGCTGCTCTGCTGCTGCTGCTGCTGCTGCTGCTGCTCTGCTGCAGCGCAGCTGCGTGTCTTCTGCACAAGGATTGCCTCATCAGGGCTGCTGCAGCAGCAGCAGTGTTGCTGCAGCAGCAGCAGCTGCAGCAGCAGCAACAGCAGCAGCAGCAGAGGCGGTGCTAATCAGAATCTATCGATTGCTGTTATCTTACTGGGGGGCTGACGAGTGCATGCATGAGCCCCAACAGCAGCAACTGCTGCAGCTGCTGCAGCAGCAGCAGCAGCAGCAACTGCTGCAGCTGCTGCAGCACCTGCTGCTGCGTTACATGCAGCAATAGCAGCAGCAGCATC